TTACCTACAAGATATACCCACCAGTTCTGAATTGCTTTAGGTAAATGAAAATATGGCTCAGTGCGCGTTTCTATTCACTGAAAAAAGTAAATACAGATCAGTAGGCATCGCTATACCTACATGAAAAGAATGGGACGATTCCAACTATATGGGCAGCTACCCAGATGCCAGAAAAAATGGTTAGTTGTGTCAAATATCATTGACTATTAATAATAATCGGCATAGGGATTTTTTACAGCAGCAGTCGCTAATACTGCAACACCGCATTTACGATAAGCAAAAAGAAAAAGAAAAAAGAAACAAAATCAAATCACGACATAGGATGTCAAACAGACGGAATAGGGGAGAGTGGGGTGGGTTGTATCAGTTTTTACTCCGAGACCCATAACCTCGTAACTATCCGTGATAAAATCATTATTTCCATACTATCTCCTTCCTTGATTCTTCTGCGTTTTTGTGCAAAGTAACTTTTCCGCTACCTCTACCAGTTTTTCTTCTACGGTCTGCCGAAAAGAACAATGTTTTTGATACAACTTGCCCCATGGCTTGGGTGAGTTGTATCACATGGTGGGGTAATCTGTATCACTAGGTATTTCACGTTTCAGGGAGCGTGCTTGCTACTGGTTTTGAGCATAACAACAACATTAAATGGGGTTGATACAATGTATATGCTCAAAGGCTTCACTTTTATTAGACCAAGCTTAGGTCAATGCAATCCGAACGAAACATCGAAACGAACGAAACATCAACAGACTAGACGCAAAAGTGGCCCGTTAAGAGCAAGGAAGCCAACACATTGTGCCAAAATGGAACGAGTATTGACTAGCTACCTACAAACGCGAGCCAGGGCTTAGCTTTCGCGATCAAAAGCAACATACCCATACATACATACATGTTACAACATACCCCACCCGGCTCTGATACAACATGTACCTCGCCGCCATCTTGGAAAAACATCCTCGTGCTCAAAAACAGCGGACAGCTGGAGAAATCCATTTTCACTCACGCAGCCTTAGAACCTACCCTCACCACCGCTACGGAGATCTTTCAAATTCGTGCACATCTAAATGTCCAAAACACACATTTTCTTGCAACCTATTTTTTTAGAATGACATTAAAAAAACATAAAATCGGCTCTCACCTCGAGACGCGTCCACCCAGCCACACGACAGAACAGGGAAAGATGGCGCCCGGAAAACCTCGTCGGCTGGTCATGTCACGAGCGCCATCAATTGGATAAGTTTCGCACAATTCGCCCTGATACAACTTGGACATGATACAACTCTCCCCGCTCTCCCCTAGGTATGAACGTTTCACCATATAGACCTCTGTGCACCGGCATAGGTATATGAGGTCTATGCTTTCGCATAATTAGTATGTTATAGTGAATATATATTAAACCGCGAGTAGGTAGAACAAATATTTTAAACGTCTCGCCTATCGGCTCGACGTTTAAAAGATTAGCGGTTTAATAATTTTATCCCGTACCGCTGATATGTTTCGGGCGCGTAACCCTCGCCGGCACAGGGGGGGTTGATGCAACCCCCCCTAAGGTTTTTCGCAAATAACTCGCGTAAAAGCGGCCGATCGCAACGAAACTTTCAGTACCCTCGCATTGATCAATTTTACACGTTCCCTGAAAATTTCATGACCCTGACCCCAATGACCTTTGACCTGTGACCTCTTTTCCGTGGCCATGTTTGGCCGAAATCGCGATTCGGCGTATGTCGGCTCGCATTAGCCGCGCGTTTGCCAGCTTTTCGTGGTTTCAAACGTTCAAACATGTGATTTGATGTTGCTCCCATACATTAGGGTGGGTGTCAAGGTCACCTGAAGGTCAGGTCAGGTCAGGTCATTGACCTTTGGTGACCTCGGGTGACCTCGGTTCACTTTTTCGAGTTTTACATGTTTCTAGGCTAGTTTTTGGAGCTGAATTCGAATTTACCAACCATTTGAACATTTACGAAGTAGTTTTGGTGCCTTCGTAACATGTTACGAAGCTGTCAGAGGCGGTTGACACGTATTACGAATACCCGTCACAACCCCTACCGGTTGACCTGACCTGACCTGACCCGACCTGGTCTAAATGCTTAAAAACATCATCTCTGATCAAAACTAACACGATATTCGTGATCAGCACCCCGGAAAACCACATAGCAGCCACACTTTACGACTTTATAACAGGTCCCGATTTTCCCGGTTTTCGGGTCATTGACCTGACCTGGAAGGTCACCCGATGACCTAGGACCTTAAAATTGGATATCATCGGCTTCGTCTCGTGACGGGCAACACGCTCGTTTTTTTCCGCGAAGCTCTAGCTCGATCAGGGGCCAAACGCGAGGGGGGTCGTACCAACCCCCCCCCCCCCTTGTGCCGTCGAAGGACGCAAAATGGCCTGTGCCGGCGAGGGTTAAAGTTAAAAATACATCTTATATAAAATACGGCATATTTCAGACTAGACGAAATGTCTGCTAGACGTTTAACAGTTTGTTACTGCTCTAGACGTTTTTAACAAATCAGTTAAACGACAGATCTGATAATTTTCTCTCTTTGCACCTGAAGCAATTGTAAACACCGTCTACGGTGCGGGATGATACTGTGCAATATGAAAACTGCATAAGATTTAAATGTCAAAAGGGCGAACGAACTGTGACCAACTAAACTATTTTACTTGTATTCAATCAAACGACGTGGTCGTTTTACAGTATCACTTCCTCAAGTGTAATACTGTTACAATGAGCTTAAATCGACAAACTGCTGGGCCGTTAGGTTCATAGAACCTTGTTTTAATCAAGTGAAAAGCACTACGCCTCGCTACAAACATTTTATTGAGGAAGTTCACCATGCAATTGCTCGCGATACGACTGCATTGTGCCTATACGCCCTCCGTAAAGCGGCCATAGTGAAACGAGTTATCCATGGCTCATCGATCCAATAATTTGGGTCTCATTATCACATTACAGCATTGAAACCCGTCAGATTACATCAACCTCTCACTTTGGTTTTTATTTAGGTTCGGCAAAACAAATTAATCAACAACATTTATCCTTCTTCTCTGAGATGCATTTAATCCTTTACGAGTGGAAGTACTATCCCGGATTTGATCCAGAAAGAACGAAAAAATATATATATAGTCATCCCATTATCCAGAATCATTTCAAGACGGACCAGTCTCGTCCAGTAAGGAAACCTGCTATCTTGTTTGATCTCGATTTAGGTTGTCTGCACGGAAAATTCAACATAAATCGTGACAACACATCCATTACGAGACGACCAAGCAAAACTATTCATCCACTTATCGCAAGTTCCAACAACTTAGCTGTCTCCGGAGCTTCGTCAAAGCGACTACAGAAGCGCAAAGCGACGACTTCAGAGGCACGACACCATGCGAAGTCAGGACTGGCTTATACCTCGCCGCAGTTCCTGTGACGTCAGCTAGAGCACCCCATTGTCGGTGATTGCCTGGACACGCAGGCGTCACGACATGCCCAGCGGTCGGCGGCCTGGCCGTGAAATCGCACACAGCACTTCCCTGAGTGCCGTTCCCACGTTCCTGGGTGCCTACCTGGACGCCACTCCCAGGCGGTGCCGGGACAGCAGCGCTGGATACAACTGCCAGGTCATTGTCGAGGCCGCCCAGCCTGACGCCATCAACGAGCACAGACAAAAGAGCGGTGGCGGCGACCAACTCGGAAGTGGCAGGCAGCGTTTGTACACCCTTGAACTCCCTTGCAGAGGAATAAGTTGAGTGTTCGTAATCCTCTGCTAAGGAAAATCCTTCATGTGAGGAAACTGGACAGCCATAAAGGTGGCGCCTAGTGATAGGAAAACTGGCATATACGCCTGTCCCATGTTGTTTATGGATGGACGATTTAGCTCGTATTGTATCTTACATGCTTTGGTACACATCATGTTCAGCTGCACGGCTGTGATGCAACCATTATCGCTATAGAAGCCTTCAACACCGCCTCGGCAATCGTAACGATATACTTATTAAACACAAAGTTTCGGATGCGTGTTGTCTCTGAAGCTCATAACCAAAAACATGTGGGAATGTCAAACCCTTCCCATGCATGCAAACTGTCTTACACTGGAGTGGTTTTTTTTTAATTTAGTCTTCCCGGCATGCCTAAGGCAACCGCCAGGGAAGGGGAAATTACTTAGGCTGGCAATATCTCACAATGCGTACAGTACAGAAACATGAGACCGTTCGGAGCGAACTCTGTGGTCACCTAGCCAAGTGTCATACTCCTGTACGATTAACAAAACAAAGGAAGGAGTTTCAGGCAGACAGCAGCAGAAGAGCGCCCAGTGGAGACAATAGGCTCATTAAATGCGCTGTCATGTCTGGTGACGAAACTTTAACGTAACGCTGTTGTCATCGCACCGGTTACCATAATGTATCAGCAATCGCCACAACAACGGCATCTGGAAACAACCAGCACCGCCTGCGTGCATTCGATGTTTTTGAATCGTTTCAGCTTCGATGACAATACGGAAAGTTTGTACCATTTAACAACTTCTCTGCTAATACATAGCAGCCTAGCTAGGTAAGAGATGTCAACACACAAAATGATAATTTCTTCTTTAGATGGGTGAAATATCCAAGGCCTTCTAAAGCAACCACAATTCAACATTATTTTGAACCATAAACAGCATGCTTCGAATACTTCGTAGTCACACTGCAATCTAAAATCATCAGTACCTAAATGCGGGACAAAGACAGGCCAAGCATCACACAAAGAGCACTATAGAAAAAAGTGGCACGAGAGAGTGGGCACAGCACATAACACACAGCACACAGCACAGGGCATGGTTGGCAGGCCACGTGCGACAGACTCGCCCTCCCAGCGGCGGCTGGTCTGACAGCGTCACGTGCAGCACCACGCGGCGTGACATGACGCTGCGTGGCGTGACGTGACGCCGCGCGACACGCCGTGACGGACTGAGGGGGAGGGACGGGGGGGAGGTGCAGCGCCAGAGTCGGCGGAGGGACTGACCTTTGTGTGACCAAGACGACCTCCGGGCGCCGAGAAGCGCCCTCCGTGACGTTGGTCCCACCTGGCGGTATCCGGGCGCTCGGTAGCGCGCCGAGCGCACAGAGTCGGCCGCCAGGCTGGATACGCCCAGGTGGACCGCCTTGTGGGGCGACGTGACGCGGCTGCGCGGCAGCGAGAGCGAGCTCTGCGCCGGCAGCGCGTCCGTGCTGCCACTGACTGTGGTAGAACGCGGCAGCGTGGTCGAACGCTCTGCCTCACCCGGCTCGGCGGCACTCGTGTCCGGCACACTGCTGCGACGTTTGTAGTTGAACAAGAAACGGCGCGACTTCTTGTCCTCAGGCTCACTGTCGGACGCCTCAGGGCGAGCCGTGATGGTCTCACTGCTGAGGGAGGTGTTGAGCGAGTTCTTGCTTCCGAGACTAGAGCGACTGCTGAACCAGCGCGGAGTGGTCCGCTGGCCCAGGTGTTTCTCGTAGCTGTCCGCTGCTCGCAGGGTCGAGTCTGAGTCCACCTGCTCGGAGGAGGAGAACTCGGAGCTCCGCGGCCGGCCGATGGTCAGGGTGCTGCCAGTGCCGCACGACTTGACGCTTACGTCACCCTCAGATTTTACCCTTCCGCTGAGACGCGTCCACTTATCCTCGGCACGGCCCAGCGTCGGCTCGCCCTCCTCGACGTCCTTCTCGCTGCGACCTTCCACCAGGTTGTGACAAGAGTCAAACTCCTTCTTCTTCTTGCGCTTGCTGTCTCGCAGGATGCGGTTGAAGTCGATGGACCCGGTGCTGCCCGCTGAGCCGACTGACTTCCGAGGCCCAGTTGGTGAGGAGGCCGTCTCCAGCGAGGCCAGGATGTTGTCGTCCGAGGCAGCCGGAGGCGCCGTCTTGAGCAGGTGGTAGCTAGAGCGGGGCGCGCCCGGGGAGTGACCCGGAGTCAGGTCAGGATTAGAGACGGCCGCCGCCACCGCCGTCGGACGGCGAACCTTTGGACTAGACGTGTACGGAGACTCGGAAAAGAAGTCGCGTGAGCGCGGCAGACGCGCACTCAGGTTCGGCGAGTGATCGCTGAGGGAGGTAGAGTCGCCACCGCTCGAGACCTCATGCATGAGCGCCACCAGTCGGTCGCCGACATGCTGCATCACCTTGGCCAGCATCGGCGGCGAGGCGGGCACTGGCGGCTGTGGAGGTTGCGGCTGGGGCGGCGCCGCCTCCTGTGAGAGTCCCCGCAGACTGCCCAGCATCTGGTCGTACATAGCCACAGCGTCGGCAGGGTTGGCCTTCGCGCCCACCGACGGCACCGTCGGTGGTGGAGGAGGCGCCGGGCTGTACTTGTGCGTCATCTGATGTGAAAACTGCTGCTGGATTTGAGATATAAAGTCCGGTTGGCCGGGATTGAAGGTGCCGTAAGCGCCCTCAAAGTCGCTGCTCGTATAGTCAGAGCTGTCGTAAGAATCACTCCACGTATCCTCGCTGCTGAGGTACTCAACAATCTCCCGCACCTGCGCCTCGTTGATTCCGGGGACGCTCTTCATCATTCGCGTCAGCTCGTTCTCGAACGAGAGCAGCTGCGCCGGCTTGGCCGCCGGGGTGGCGCTGGGCGCTGCCGGTCTCGGAGTCAGGATGTTGGCACGGAAGAACTGTCGTAGTCTGCCCATCAGGATATTAGTCTCCTCGTCCGAACTCCAGTTGTTGAACGAGTCCTTGCGTATCACTTTGTTGCGCGTTTTGGAGGCTGGGGAGCGTCCGGGCGAGCCGGCTGCCGGAGAGGCTGTTAGTCGGTCGCGTGAGGGCCCGGCTTTGGGTGTCGCCGAGCGGCGGCCCCCAGTTGCCCCCTCCTCTCCTGATGTGCTGCGCTGTGAGACTGTGGTGGAGCTGGATTGCAGTGCCTCCTCATCAGAAGAGTCGGGGACAGGGCGGCTTGCAGCTGTCTCCTGATGGATTTCGGTGCCTTCTCGCGCGGCCGGCGACTCCTTCAGCAGGTCGTCCGAGCTGCCCAGGAATCCGCTGTCGCGACTCTGACGCGCTTCGCCCGTCTTCTCAAGCTGAGGTAGAATGGAGTCACGTGCAACACCCCCAGAGGTTGCGTCAGCGGCGACGGCGACTGTCTGAAGGCGTGGGTGGGTCGGTAGCTCCCCCGAAGCTGTGCGTGTTTTCTCGGACACTGTGTCACGGTCCTTCACTGCCGCAGCAGCAGCTGCAGCTATCGCCGCTGCCGATGGCGCCTTCTTTTTCTTCCGACGCTTGATCGTGTCGAACTGACCATCGCTCTTCTCAAACGCGGTCTCATCACTGGGGTCCTGGGGAAGGTCCTCGTCACTGGACGTGCCGTCACTCTTGTCCGAGATCTCACGGCCGGACGCCTCGCCCCCGCTGCCTACCAGGTCGCCAGACTGCGCTCGGAACCGAGCCCGTGGCACCTTCTTCCGCCGCTGCTCCGGTGACGGCTGACCCTCCGAGTCACTGCCAACGCTGCCACTGCCGTCCGTTTGTACCTCAGAGTCCACTGAGCGCAGCGACTCGTTACGGAACAGCGGGTTGCCATGGCCCTGGTAGCGGGCAGCGGCCTTCTCCACCGGGTCGACCTCGGTGCTGTCAGTGTCAGTCGTGATCTCACTGAACTGCGACGACATGGAAAGGGACATGTCGCTCTCCGTCCCCAGGAACTCAGTGCTGCACTCACTCTCCTCGTTGCCGATGCGTGGGGGCTCCAGTTCACCGGCTCCCAGCTCAAAGAAGAAATATTTCTCAAGCTCGGACGGGTCTGCGGAAGCCACGTTCTCGGCAGCAGCGGCGGCACGAGCTTCCTTCTCGTCCATGTCACTCTCCTCGCAGCTTTCCTCGAGGATGGTGCTAAGGGTGAAATCCAGGGGCTGGCCGAAGCCGCGGAGGTCCTCCTCGGTGTACTGCTCCTCCTGAGACGCGTCGCTGAGCGACTCGTGCTCCTCCACGGAGTAGCGCTCGTCAGAGTCGAAGTGGTCGTAGCCGATGGACGGATACTCCTCGCCTTCTCCACCGCCGAAGTCAAACCCGTCATCGAAGTCGTCTTTGGCGTCAGCACTGGCGGCTGTTTCTGGAGAGGAGCGGTGTCGCACCTCCGGCGTGCGCGAGCGGCGCTCTCCGGCCGGCACTGGGGTCTCCAAGCCGGCGAAATAGTCCGCCAGCCGCGAGGTGGACTCCGGCGGCGCCCCACTGCCCACCTTCATGTGTATCACCTCATCTCGCGTCTGCACTGCACTCTCTACAGCCTCACACAGCCGGTCGGCGTCGTCTCTGGCCCCGCTGGCCACCAGCACTGAGTTGGTCTTCTCATCGGTGACCACTTCGACCTCCTCCGAGCTGGGCGCCACCAGGTCCACCTCCTGCTCACGGGGCGGCGGCGGCGGCTCCGTGCCGCTCCCGCCACCGCCCGCCGCGTCTGTCACCTCCACGCTGGCCACGCTGGCCGCTGCCGGCCGCTCTCCGTCCGCCGCCGTGGTGACAGTGACGGGAGCGGCACCGGCCGTGTGCACCACCGTACTGCCGGCCGCACCCACGGCCACCACACTGACAAAGCCGCGAGCCGCCGCGTCCGCCTCGGCCGCCGGCCGCCCACCGCCGCCGCCGGCACCGCCCGCGGCGCCGCCGCCGGTGCTGGCCTCGGTCGCGTCGCGGGCTGCCGCCGTGCGCGCGGGCTCGACGCCGTTTTCCGGCCGACTGTCGGCCCCGATCGGCTCGCCGGCTCTGTCCGGCTGCGGGTTCACGCCCGGCGAGTCACCGGCGGGCGTCGCCGCCGCGGCACGGGGAGAGGCGGCCCGGCCAGGTGCGGCACTGGCGCCCTCGGGTCGGTCACCTCTGCAAGCCGCCCCGCCCGCACCGGCCGCTCCTCCCTCGCCCAGCAGAGTCTGCTCTGCAGAATCCGGCGTGATGCCGCCCGGCGCGGCGGCCGCACCCGCCACTCCATTGTGCGGATTTTTACCGACCTGCGGGCCGCGGTCTAATGACTCAGGAGCGCCAGGGCCCTGGCCAGAAGCGGCAGGGGTCTGGTCAGGACCGGTTTGCGTGACCATGGGCTCGCTGGGAGCCGGCGGCCCGCTCGCGCCGGCCGCCGTCGGCTCGGGAACCGAATCAGCTGGTGCTGGGTCCCGCCCACCTGAGCGGGCGGCCGTGTCGGCGGTGTCAACAGACGGAGTGTCGGTGGTGTCCGCAGGCGGAGTGCCGGCGGAGTCCGCAGGCGGAGTTTCGGTGGAGTCCACAGGTGCGCAGACGTCCGACACGTCACCACTGACTGCTGTCACATCTGTCGGGCCGAGCTCTGTCGGCACTTGTTGAGCTGGCGCGAGCTCGTCGGTGTCGGAGACGGTTTTCGTCTGTTCAGTGGTTACCAATTCCGTCTTTGTACTATCTGACGCCGCGGTTTTAATGGGTGAAACACTGGAGTCTCCAGGTACGGCCGTGTCCGTTTGGATTACAGACGGAGCATCAGTTTCAGTCGGCACGGCAGCTTTAGTTGTCATTGTGCTGTCTTCAGGTGATCCTTCCCCTATTGTGCCTTCAGCAGGCAGCTGACTCTCAACGACTGGCGATTGTTCCTCGTTGGCTTCCACAGATATCGTAGTTTTTATGGAGTCTTCGGTTTCTGACGACACAGTTGAAATAAATGATGTCTCTGTTTCTGAAGAGCCGTCCTCCGTTGACATCTCAGTCACTGTTGTAGCATTGTTTTTATCTACAACTGCAGCTTCTGATACGAAAGTATCGTCAGCCATTTCATGTTCAACCGGTGGGCTTGATTCCACCAATGCATCTTTGTCAGTTGATGGGACAATGGTCTCTGGGATTTCTTCTGATGGTGCGACGTTATCAGGTGTCTCCGCTTCCACAGAAAGCGAACATGCCGCTGCAATTTCCGATGCACTCGTGATAGCTGTTGGCGCAGTTGCACCTGCTGTTGCTGCTTGAGATAAGTCTGCTTCTGACTTCGCGTCGGGCTCAGCTATTGCTGGTTCTGTCTGAACGGTGGACTCTTCTGGCAAAGAAGGTTTGATTGGGCTCTCGGTTTTCTGATCTACCGTGTTTTGGACCGGTGCCTCGGCTTCCACTTGAACCGTGGTTTCGACAGATGTGTCGGTCGTATTTGTTTCAGTAGATACTGCAATTTCTTCCGATGTTTTGCTATCTGTTGGCACTGTTGATTTTTCAATCGGTTTCTCACTTTCAGCTTCAATCGTGGGTTGGACAGATTCCACTACCGCAGACACAGGCTCGACCGACGTCTCAGATTCAATCGGTGCCGTGAGTTCGGCTGGTGTTTCAGCCTCAAGCCGTTCCATAGTTTCGATTGACACATCAGTTTCCGTTAATTCGGCGGCTTCGATCGGTATTTCAGTTTCTACAGGCTGAGTGGTTTCGTGTGCATCTTCAGTTTCGGCTGTCGTCATAGTTTCGACCGTGGTCCCATTATATGACGACGTCAAAGCCTCAGGGGTTGTTTCAGTTACAGCTGAGATATTTGGGTCAACTGGTGTCTCAGTTTTAAGCGGTATCGCGGTTTCAACTGAAATTTCAGCTGCCAATGGCAGTACAGTTTCAACTGGCTTTTCAGTTTCGGATGTCGCCTTGGTTTCGCCAGACGGCTCGGGTTGTGCTGCAACCGCAGTTTCCACTGGCGTTTCAGTTTGGACGGAAACCGCTGGTTCCACCGCACACGTCGGAGGAACTGTGATTTCAGATGGCGTCTCATTTTCAACAGTTTCAACCGGTGTTTCAGCGTCTACCATTTCCACAGTTTCTGCTGGTTTCACAGTTTCAACTGGCGTTTCAGCCTCCACGGTTTCCACAGTTTCAGATGGTTGTGCAGTCTCCATCGTTTCCATAATTTCATCTGGTGCTTCAGAAGCCGGAGTTGTCACAGTCTCGACTGGCGTTTCAGTTTTCTCGGTTACCGTAGTTTCGGATTGGTTCACAGTTTCCATCGTTTCCTCAGTGTCAGCTGCTGGTTCAACGTCTGCAACTGACACCGTTTCGACTTGTGTTTCAGTTTCCTCGGTTACCGTGGCTTCGACAGACGTCTCAGCTCCCGCCGGAGGTTTGTTTTCAACTGGTCCTTCAGTTTCCTCGCCAGCTGAAGCTTTAACGGGCATTTCAGCCTCTGGCAATGACTCGCTATTTGTTGACTTATTAGCTTCTTCTGTTACCGTAACATCAACCGAAGCTTCTTCAGAGAATATTTCACCATCCAATGCGTTGGTTTCTGAAACCGTCTCCGTTTTGTCCAGGGACTCTAATTCAGACTGCGCAGCAGTTTCCAGGGGTGGTTTTGTTTCCGCTCTCGCCGTTGTTTCGAGAGGGACCTCGGACTCCAGTGGCGTTGTCGATTCCACCGCAGCTTTGGCCTCCACTGAAAGGACTTCTCCGTGCGTTCCCGACACAGAAGTCTCACATTCGACCACAGGCATGATTTGTGGTGGTGCTGAATCCTCACCCGCAGTGTCCGTTTCAGACGCTTTCGTCTCGACGGTTATTTTGTCCTCTGAATGTCCAGCGTCTAATGACAGAGAATCGGTCGCGTCTGGAGCGGTAATTTCGGAGGTTGGTTTCTCTGGTGTCGACGTTTCCTCTGATGTTTCCTTCGTTTCTGTTGATGTAATGGCCTCGACAGATTCCGTGAGTTCTTTGGAAACAACTTCCTCAGAGGGCTCTCCTTCAGATGATGTGGCTGTCACCGGCGCCTGGGCGGCTGCTGATCCATCAGTTTCAATCGAACGCTCAGTTTTCTCAGTTTCTTTGCATTCGGTCGAATCGTCATGGTCCGTAGAGGGCTCAATTTCGACGGCCTTCTTAGCTTCGACCAACTCCTCGGTGCTTTTATCGTCGTCGTTTTTGTTCGACTCCTTTGAATCATCCGTATTGGTTTCGATCGAATCATCCTCTGCTAGCACATCCATTTTCCCAGGCACGTCGTGATCTTCGCGAGCCGCTTCAACTGAAAATTCGGCAACAGGCGACTCAGCTTTGTCGAGTACCACTGTTTCGTTAGGAGCTTGAGATTCCACTCGCATCCTGGTTTCAGCGGCTTTTTGTGTTTCGTTACCAGTCTGAACGCTTATCACCTCCTTTATTTCTTCAGCGTGGTCCGACTTCTCAGATTCGACATTACCGACCGTCTCTTTTGATTCCTCGGGTGAAATCGTTTCAATGGGGGTTTCATCATCGGAACATGCATTAGAATCTAGAACCGACTTGGCATCTTCACATTTATCAGCTTCCGTCTGCAGCTCATTTATAACCTGGGACTCCTTGTCCTCAGAGACTTTGCTATCATCTGGAACATCGGCACCATCGGATTCTTCAGTGACGTCTACTGATACTGCATCTTCACAAGAGACTGTCTCGGTAGAACCTTCGATTTCCTGAATAATGTCAGTTCTGAGCGCATCATCAGATGCGGCAGCCTCATCGACTGAGGTAGCCGGGTCAGCATCATCTAATGATTTCTTGTCCTTGCCTGTAGCTCTGATCTTGGCATCCTCTTCTTTTCTATTTTCGACCGATGAATCGTTTTCTGCAGATACTGCTGCTTCAGCTTGGACACCCATCTCCTCGGAATTTTTCGTCTCGGCATATGTTTTGTTTTCAACAGATGGTTCGTTTTGGGGCATTGCATCTTCTTCATGAGATATATCGCACTTGACTGGTGTGTCGATATTCTCAGGCTCGATGACTTCAGCAGTGGCTGATGTTTTATCGCCTTCCTTTTCGTCCACAGAAACGGCAGAGGCTTCCGATTTCCTGGTTTCCTCAAGTACCACTGTATCAACGGATTCATTGCTGTCCTCAGATATATTGGTTTCTTCAGATGCCTCGCTTTCCTCGGACACAGAAATGCCCTGAAGTATCTTCGGGTCTTCAGCTACTTTGATTTCATCCGATACGTTGGATTCGTCGAGGACCTTGCTTTCACTAGACGCGTTCGGTTCAACGGTCACATTCGTTGTCTCCGATTCATCATCTTCTTCCGGTACATTTTCGTCTTTGGATGGTTGAGGACGCTCATTTTCTTCGGTCGCCTTGTCCTCCGTGGATGTCTCGTCCTCAATTAGCCCTTTAGTTTCATCGACTGGAGCTATACTGTCCTTCGAATCTCCGAGTTCAGCTGTAACATTACGTTCCGTCGATGCCCTTTTATCGGCAGCAGGCATGGTATCTTCTGGTTTCGAGTCTTCCTCGGATGTACTGACGCCAAGTGCCGGAGCATTATCATCAGTTGTGGTCGATTCAATAAGCCTATTGTTTTTGTTGGTTGTCTCCGCCTCGACCGATTCCCCCACTTCCTCCTCTGCTTCGACTTCTTGAGCTGCATCAGCTTCAACGTCCAGCATGTAATTTTCAGGCTCATCTTTTTCGGCAAGGTCATTGGTAGTTTCTGAAGAAGTGAATTCACCCAGCTCATCCTCCTTCTCACATACATCATCAGGAGCTTTCACGTCATCAACTGCCTTGCTTTCAATCACCTCATTCGCTTCTTTCGATGGCTCGATTTCTGCTGACACCTCGACTGCTTCAAAGACATTCGTTTCAGACGGTAATTTGATTTCCTCTGTTGGAGACGTCTGTTCAGAAACACTGGCTGAGGCCACTCCATCGCCGTCAACGCACGGTTTGCTGATTTCGGCTGCTTGGCCAGACTCGCTGGAAGCATCTTTTTCTTCCAGTGGCCCTGTCTCACGAGGTATTATGATTTCGCTCTGCTTCTCATTTGTCTCAGCTATTGCAGTGTTTGCCGGGCGTTCAGTTTCAACGGGTGTTTTAGTTTCTGGCTGCAACTGATTTTCACATGAGCCGGTGAACTCAACGTCTGTCCCACTTGCTCCGGATAATTTAGTTTCCGTCAAAATCTCGTCTTTATCCGGTGTCGTGACTTCGATCGGCTCAGCTTTCGCTGCTTTGCTTTCAGCCTGGCCATCCTGTGAAAATGTGCTTTGTGCGATTTCGTCGGGACGTCCAGACTCACCAGATTCAACCAGATCCGTCATTTTGGGTTCGGTCGTATCTGTCGTTTCTGATAAATTGACCGGTTCAGTATTACCGGTTTCAGAAGATGCGGGAGCTGTCAGCTGTTCAGAGCTGTCAATCACGGGGCTGGCTGATTCAGGGGGCTCGATAACTGGTTCAGGACTAAGTGGCCCCTTTGGTTCAGCGCTTTCCGGTGCAGCAGATTCAGAGCCGTCTTTAGACGGTGCACCCCCACTCTCGATACCGACTGTCGGGGTCTCATTGCTAGGTGGAATGTGACTGAGGGGGCCGCGGGCCGGGTCCTCTGAGCCTTTCAACTCGGTACTGTCGATGTCAGGTGCGACCTCTGATGCTGAAATGGGTGGTTCAGCCTGTCCTTTTGACACAGGCAAAGCCGTATGAGGTGGGTCCTCTTCTAAGGGCGAGTTGGTGATGCACTCTGCGGTAGGGAGGGCGGTGACAGCGGTGTCTTTTGAAGCAGTGCTGGACTGTTGTGTGGGACTGAGAGGCTCCTCGGGTCCCTCTAATCTGTTCTGTTTTGAACTGTTCTCCTCAGAAGCGGATTTAGTTCGCTCTGCTGTAGAAAATGTTGAACTTTCTTTCGAAGCACTTGTTTCATCCACAGCATTATCATCTCCGCATTTCTTACCACGAGCAGGTGCAGTTGTTTTTCGCTTGCTTTGTTTACTTTTTGCTGATGGCGCAGCAGTGCTCGCTGTTTTCTTGGCCTTTTGCTCATCCGGTTTTGTTTGTTTTGAGGATTGCTCGACCGGTTTTTCCTTTGCGATACTTGCCTTTCCTTTCGCCGGCTTCGTTGTTTGGACGGCTGGCTCAGCCGTTTCACTCGTGACAGCAGCATCGGCAATGTTCTCCACACTCGCCGATATGGCCGACTTCTTGGCCGCGTCCTTCTTCCTTCTCTTCTTGGACTTTCTCGCCTTGCTGGCATGCTTTGGCGCCGTGTCGGCGGCCGTCGCCCCCTCGGCCGGCTGCCGGTCGGGTCCGGCGGCCGGGGTTTCGCCGCCCGACTGCCGGCTTTCTCCCGGACCTCCGGAGTCGGACGGTGGCCGATCAGACACCGATGGCGGTGCCGCCGTCTCCAGGGTCGGCTCCGACCCCGGACCTGCCGATGTCACGCTCTCAGTCGGCAGCGCGGTTGCAGAAGGCTCCCCGCCGGCCGCCGGGTCCCCTCCCTCGGGCCGAGGCCCGGCGGTCGCCGTCTGCTCCTCGGCGGCCGCCGGAGCTGGGGTGCTGGTGGCGCCGTCCGCGGTGCTGGTGGCGCCACCGGCGGACACCTCCGCCGCCGACGGGCCCGGCTCACCGATCGACGACGCGTCACATTTTGCGCCGGGTGCTGCTGTGTCCGAGGGGTCGGCCACGTCTGTCTGACCGGTCAGCACGGGCGCCGAGCCGGCCAGACGGTGGTCCGCGCCGGCCGCCGGGCTGGCGCCCTCAGCAGGGACAGGTTCGTGCTCAGCTGCAGGAGCTAGCGGGCTCGAATGAGCCATTTCGGCCGGCTCAGATGTCTCGTTAGGGGCCGCGCTGAGGGGCCGCTCGGCACCGGACGGGTGCGCCGCGGCGTTCCCTACCACCGACACGTGTTCAGGGCCGGACGAATTGCCACTACCCTCTCCGGACACGGGGAGCGAGCGTCCCTCAGTGACACTGCTATTCTCAGTATCGCTGTGGGACTCATTAGTTGCAATGTCAAAAGTCTTGTTAGGGTTTGAATCGTTTTCTTTTGCGGCTCCAGCTGCCTGCTGCTCGTTTGAAAGCTCCGTCTCATGTGACGTTTCATTCCCGTTTGCCGCCGTGCCCTTGAGATCAGTGGCTGCAGAGTTAATGAGATCACTGGCTGTTGTCTTTTCATCTGCAACGTTTGCTGCCGGGCCGTCGACCGCTAATTTATCCGAGGCCAGTTCTAGCTGCGTACTGTCGTTCGCTGGGTCATTTGAGGCGGGGACATTGGTGACCTCGACACAAGGTGATGGGACGTCAGTCGTATCGTCATTAGCAGCTGGAATATTAGCCTTGGCAACAACAGACGTAACGTCACCCGACGGCACGTCAGCTGCTGACTCGCTACTTCCAGGTACATCAGCTTTCGGGACGTCATTTTCCGACGCGTCACTAGGTGTGATGTCAGCTGCTCGGACTTGAGTAGCTTCCATATCAGCCGGTACAACGTCAGTCTCCGAAGCCTCAGCCGCCGTGATACCATCACCTGATGTAACATCAGCTGGCATGACATCAGCCGCTAAGTCTTCACTGGCGTCACCCTCAGTTTGACGTGGCGCATCCTCTACTGCCAGGTCATCCGTTGACCTAGGGTGACCTGGAACATCACTGGGACCTTTTCCAGTCTCTTCAGCCCCTGTCACCATTGTGCCAACCGGTGAATGTGCAGCATGGACACTATCAACCGCATTATCAGTGGCTGCGGCGGCATCGGGGGCTGATTTGGATGCGATAGCTGCTTCAGCCTCGATAGTCCTGTCCGTTGTTCGATCTGTTTCGCTATCAACAGGCGCTGAATGATCGGCCTCAGTGTCATTGACTGATTGATGGCTGGCGTCGGGACTGCTGGTTGAACAGACACCAGCTTCGGTGTGGGATTCAGGTGCTGGTTCTGTATCGATTTTAGCAGACTCGGGGGTCGTTTCATTGTCTTGCACAGCCTCTGTCTTTGTCTCGGGAGCCGCGACGGAGCCTGTCTCCGCACCGGCGCCAGCCATGGGGGCCGTCTCAGCTCCAGCCGGTGCAGCAGACCCCGCCTCCTTCTCTTCAGCCTCCGCCCCGTTCCCCGAATCAGGCTCCGTCCCGCCCACCGCGCGCCCTGCCTCAATCTGCGCAGTGCCTCGGAGCGGTCCGATCCCGGCGCCGTCACCTGGCCCCGCCTCGGTAGCCGCTGTGGTGACGTCACTGGCCGTGACGACGCGACAACTGTCCGCCGGCACCGGCCCGTCCGCCGCGGGTTTTTCCTCCGGCGACCGGCACTCAGGGCGAACCAGTGCGCCGCCGCCGTCCACCGCCACTTTTACAGCTGCTGGATCATCTGAGACGAGTTTTTCCTGCGCGCCGGCCGGACCGGGTGCCGCACATTCCGGCCCGGACGGTGCGTCACGCACGGGGACGGGGGTAGTCACGAGCGCCGGGGGCGCAGGAGCGGCACTGGGGGTTGGTGAGGTGGAACTCACTGCTGATTCGGGAGCAGGGTTTGGTGCAGGGGCGCCCTGGGCTTGCGTGACAGGCTCGGGTGTACAGGTGGGTGCAGTTTGGTCGGGATCGAGTGAATCAACTCCGGACGGGGCCGCCTCAGACGCAGGGGTGGGTGCAATGTCATCGCCTTCAGTGTCGACTGTTTTTGGCACGGTTTCACTGATAATCTCTTCACTTTTAATGGAAATTGCTTCATCCTTCAGTTCGTCAGAGTCGAGTTCTTCAGGATCAGTAGCGGTTCCTGAACGATCTCCCCCATTTGTACCCGTTTCAGCAGCGAGGGGCTGTTCCCCTTCCTGCCCGACCCCTTGTTCGGTTGGCACCTGTTCTGTAGCACTGTCTGGACTACCCGGTTCGTGTTGAGCCCCTTCCCCCGTCGGCCGTTCGCTGGCCGCGGCCGGCCGCTCACCTGCCGCCGGCTGCGGACACCGGTCCTGCCGGGCGGTGTCGGCGGTTACCTGTGCCCCGAGGGGCTCGGTGACGTCTCCGGCCGGTGTCTCCGCGCGCCCCTGCAGCTGGCCGGCGCTGCTCGGCGCCGTGAGAGCGTCTCGGACCCCGTCCGGCGCCGGGGTCAAGGTCACGACCGGCGGCGGCCGGGACGCAGCCGTGGAATCCTCGGCACCGCCAACGGCCGTCTCGGTCAATTCCTTTGTCCTGGAATCACTCGCATTGTTCGCGCACACCGGCGGACCGGCGGCTCTCGACAGCGCCGATTTCGCCGCACACGCGTTACTCTCACCGTTGGCACTCGAGTCACCGCTCGATTCATTGGCACACGCGTCACTTGAATCCGCGCATTTCGCGGCGCGCACACTGTCGCAATCGGCTACTAGTTTGGCACTATCACTGGAAGTCGCCGCGTTCAACACATTGACGTCGCTCGCACTCGTCGCTTCGACACGCGCACTTGTCTCTGCCTCGCCCGAGGCTACGTGACCCGCCGGAACGGTCTCCGAAACGGCCGAGTCATCGACGCCTGTGGCGTCAGAAGACGTGACTTTCGTCGGCTCCTGACCGTCACCGACTGCAGCAGTCTTTTCACGAGACATGTCACCATCGTTTGGAAAGGCACACACACTAGAAGACACTATACCAGTCTCCGACGTCTCCACAGTCTCTGGCAAAGTCCGGTGAGAGACTGAAGGAGTTTCACCGACACCGACTATCACATCTGCCGATACTGCTGAGGTCGGAGCTGCCGCAGCAGACGTCGTCACTTCCACGGACTCTGTGACAGACAGGTCCTCCTCGACTGAGCCCGGCTCGCGTTGTCCTCCCACGGCTGATTTCGTCTCTGTCCCCTGGCCCGTGTCATCGGGTATCAAGGTTTCTTTTTGTCCGGTATCCAACACAACTGCTCTCTGTGTGACAGCCGAATTTTCATCATCTTCGGTCCCATGGACAGCCGGAGAGTCATCATCAGTCTGAACACCGGGCTCAGCTTCGACATCTTTAGTTTCGATGGTGTCTCTAGCTTTGGCGTCAGCTTCTGCTTCGGCACTGGACCCGGTCGCTGGCGCCTCAGCCGTCGTAGCCTCGGCAGTTTTGGGCTGTAAGGCGTCGGCCTCGGCCGAGCCGGCCGGCTGGTCCGATGTGGCGTGTTGAGCCGGCGCCGCCTCTGCCGACCGGCCCGTATCGCTGCCAGTATCTGCCTCGGACAGCTTGTCGTGCACGCCAGGCTCGGAGCCGGGGCCCGGCACCGGTGCGGGCCGGCCGGGCGGCGAGCCGGGCCGCGAGACGGGCCGCGCGTCCACCGTCAGCGGAGAGTCGGTGCCGCTGTCGGCCGCGTCCAGCAGCTCCTCGACCGACGAGCTCGGGTTGAGCACGTACATCTGGCGCACGTTTGTCTCCGGGTCGGAGCAGTCCGAGTCGTCAGAGTCCGAGTGGGTGGCGTCGGCGCTAGCTTCGCTGTCGTCGGCGCCGTCGCGGCCGGCGGCGCCCCGCTGGTAGCGCTGCGCGGCCACCACCAGGTCGTACTCACACGTCGACTCGTCTGACTCCGAGTCGTCCACTTTGGGCTCCGGTGGCGCACACTCCTCGATCCTCACCGGATCATCGGCGAGTGCCGTGATGGCCGAGTTTCTGCGGTTCTCGTCTTCCATGGCCGCGTCCGGTGGTGTCAGAAGCTGCGATCGCGTCGAGATCGTCTCGCTGCACCGCGTCGCCGTCGATGTTGGCGTGCTATGTTCCGCGTCAGCGCCGGCGCGTGCTGCGGCTGCCGTAGGCCGCGCGGTCACGGGATGCGATGCACTGGAGCGGAGAGCGGGGCGCTCGCGGCCGCCGCCGGACCAACACTGGCGGCCCGGCGCGGCGGCGGCGGCGGCGGCGGCGGCGCGGCGCGGCCCGGCGGCCGCCCGGGGCCCGGCCGGCCGCCAGCAGCCTCTCTCCTCGTGCGGCGGCGATCCGCCGGCGCCGGCCGGCTCGGCCAGACCCGGTGACTCGGAGCCGCCCCGACCCCGCCGCCGCCCGCCGCCCCCGCCCGCGGTACCCCCATGGCCGCCCGGGGCCCTCACCTGGCTCCGCCGCCGCCGCCGGGGCGGGGCTGTGTCAGCGTCACTATCGGCCCTATCGGCGGCGTCACACCGGCTCTCGATACGGGACGCGGCGCTCGCGTGACGCAGCGCGGGGCGGGGGCACTGCTGTGCTCGGTCAAACCCCGGCTCCGCCCAGCTGAGGCAACGGCGGAGACGGCTCCGGGATGAAGACGGATCACGTGACGCCTCACGCCCCTCAGCCCGTGCCGTCTCCCGTCCTGTCCCCCGTCCCGTGCCCAGTCCCGTCTTCAGTTCCGTCTTCTGTCTCGTCTGATTTCCAGTCTTGAGCCCTGTCCCACGATAAGCCTCGTCATGCGACCAAAGCCCCTCCTCCGTGATCAGCACTCTCACGCGGTCGTGCTCGTACACAACCTGTGACCTTGCACCTAGCTGAGCGTGTGAATCGAGCGCGGATTCGCGGCCGCTTCCGTTCTGACGCGCCGTGACTCTGAATAGCACGTGATGGTGGTTGGTTTCCAGGTGCGGCTCGGTTGCTGGCTCCAGTCCGCGCCGGCTCATGTAACGCCTACTATCGGTCACGTACTTCGTGGCACCGAGTGGTGCTGTGTTTGCTAAGGCGGCGGCAGCGGGCGGCGCTTGTGAGACGCCGCTCCCTCCAGTCTGTGTGTCACACTGAAAACAGTCGATGCCGCCAGATGAAAGAGCGCCGAGCTGTCCGCGTATCTCACACGGTGTAGTGCTCAGAGGCCATCTGATTAGACCGTGCCGTGCCTGGCACTTCTCCTGCCCAGTTACTAAGCTCGGAGCATAGAGAAACGTTCCACGGCGTATTTCCGTTTCCGCTTCAGCTACTGTTTTCCGCCGTGTTTTTAGATACAAATCCGGCTCTGTGTTTGTTTCGGCGTCTCTCATAATTATGTGCTCGAGTTTAGTCGTCCTGTGCCTTGTCTCATTCTGTCGCCAGCTCCACGTCGCTTCCGGTTTCATCTCAATTATTTTCACCGCACTTCCGCCCTTTCGCTCGATTCTCTCGCCCTCTTCCCAAGTCACGTTCACCGAATGCTCATTCGCGTGCCCCGTCTCGGCTCCTTCGCTTGCCGCTGTACCGAGTGGTCCGGCGGCGCGGCTCCGGCTGCAGACGGCTCCTGCGCGCCGCGCCGGCACCGGGCACGCGGCAGTCCCGTTCCCCTGGCCAGTGCTGACCTTGGCGCCGGCTTTGTGCCGCTGGTGACTGCCAGGGAGCGATGGCTTGGCCGGCCAGCGGTCCTGGCCGAGCGGCGGCCGCCCCTCGGCCGCCTCATCGCCGATACCGGACTCGCCGCTGCTGCCGGCCGCGCCGTGAAGGCGGTAAAACGCCTGCTCCGTGTGCCACCCGCGCCGTGACTCTACTCGTGACTCCCCTCGTGACTCCCCGTGCGACTCGCCGAGCGCCGAGTCGCCGTCGTGCGGCGATGACGAGTCTGTTGGAACAAAAACGCGCCGGTGGTCGCCGCTCGCTGGCACTATCTGGTGCGGATCGCTGTCGGTGGCGCCGAGGCGACCGCCGCCGCCGGGCTCGGCCCGCCGGTGAAGGGAACCCACTGGACCGGGCCGCAGCGGATTGAGCCGTGAATCAAGCACCGGCGTAGGCGATAAGCCAGGGTCGGTGGGTTTAGGGCTGGTGGGTGAATCTGCAAGTAGAGTGTCTGCAAATCTTCCGTGTGCGTTTCTGTCGGCTGCATGAAGGGTAAAATTTTCCAGTCCAAATGATGGCTGAAGACGGCTGGGTTGGAACTGAATTACGTGCTTGTGATGATATGAAGCACGGTCGACGGCATCCACGCTGGAGTCACTGGAGTTATTGAATGAGCTCGTCAGTGGCGTACTGAAATCACTGTAACCGTCGTGATATCTTCTCCCTACGCTGATACACGAGTCGCTGACATCACTGGAGAGACTGAAGTCACTGTCTGACCTCCAGCACACAGGTCGAAGCTCGGGCATGGACTGGCGTAGGTAGTGTCTTGGTCCACATGAATCTGTCTCTGACCCACTGCCCTGCCCCTGACACTGACCTGAGCTCTCCCAGTGACCTGCCAGCGGCGACCGGTGACCTGCCGGTGGCGCCTGGTGACCTGACAGCGGTGACCATTGTCCTGACACCTTGGGGGAGTCCTCTGGCGGCCGTATCGCCTCCAGCAGCCCGTCGTTAGCCAGGTCAGACCAGTTCATCCAGCCGGGGAGGCTCGGAGCGGCCGGAAATGTCCTCCTCGTCTCCAGCGGCGCACGGGCCGATGACGCACCGCCCCCACCTCGGGACGACGCACAGACAGACGGTCACAGAAGCGAAGCGGACGAATACAAAGACGGACACGCAGGCTGACGAGCGCGAACGAACTGGCGTCCAACGACGCAGGGAAACGTAAGCAAAGCGTTTAGTTCCCACACACATGCTCAAATGCAGTCAACAAGTCAAACAAGACGTGTCTGTCTTTAAATTCCCTATTACTACAGGGTGCGTCAGCCAAATCCGGAAAAACGAGACCGTATTTTCTAACTTCTGCCAGTGCCAAAATAGACAAGACCTCTGCTTTTTAAGATATATTCCCGCTTTCCTGCTTCCTTCTGGCCACATCTACTCGATGAAACCACCACCGACTTCGATCACCTTCTCCAGCCGACTGCGGAAGCGGCTGCAGGCACGGATGACGACCTCCTTCTCCATGCTGCCCATTGCCTCACGGATGGCTGTTTTCAGGGCTTCCTTTGAGTTGTGAGGTTTCTTGTTAGACTGCCTCTCAACTTCGCCCCAGACGTAATAATCCAAGGGATTAAGGTCCGGGGAGTTGGGAGGCCAAAACTCCTTCGTCCACACCATGTCGAGGTTGTCATTGCACCACTCCTGAGTCTTCTTGGAGGCATGGGCGGGTGCTGAGTCCTGTTGGAAGACGTATGAAGCACCTGCAGTCACCTCTTCCACCCAGGGCTTTACTACCTCCTCCAGCGCCTTGATGTACACCTCCGTGTTCACCTTCTCTTTGTCGCCAAAAAAGTGGGGAGGCATGACGTCACCGTTGCTTGTGACGACCCCCAGAACCATCACTGATGCTGGGAACTTCGTCTTCATGGTGACGGGAACTTCATCCGGGAACTGACAGAGGCATCTGGTGTTTCGTCTGTTGGTCTTGCGGTCCACCGTGAAGATCTTTTCATCGCTGAAGATCTTGATTCGGCCCGTGGCCTCATGCTTCAGCGAACTCAACAGCTTCGTCCCAGTTGCCACTCGCTTAGCCTTCATTGTCTGTGTCAGAAGCTGCCGGATTCTGATGGTATACGACTTGTATCGCAGGTCTTGATGGACAGCTCGCCTGACTGTGCACTCCGACACGTCGAGACGTAAAGCCAGTTGTCTCATTGATTGCATGGGATCTTCCTCAATGAGCTCCTGCAGTTGCTGCAAGAAATCCGGCATCCGCTTCTTATTGGGGGCCTCCGAACGCTTCTTCCGTGCAGGTGAAGCGGTTTTGTCTTCGTCGGGGCCGTCTTGAGAGGCCAGGTCATCATGATATCTCTTTGCGATATCGTACACGGTGCTTTTTGGCACCTTGAGGAACTCTACGATTTGCATCCGTGTCTTTCCGGCGCGAAGGGCTTCCTGGACTGCTGCTCTTCTCTTGTATTCAGAGCTTCTCCGTGGCATTTTTGGCTTAACCCTCGCCGGACCTATTGGTTTTCTACATACGCGCCGGCCGAGGGGGGGGGGGCGGGTACGACCCCCCCCTCGCCGTTTCGCCCCTGGTGGAGCTAGCGCGTCGCGGAAAAAACGAGCGTGTGCGCCGTTACGAGACGCAGAGATTGGTACCCGATTTTAAGGTCCTAGGTCAACCGGTGACCTCTGAGGTCAGGTCAAGTGCCCCAAGGTACGGTTCAGTTTTTGGTGAATAACTTCGCAAAAAAACGGTCGCAGAGCGCCGATTTTGGCAGCATCGTGTTCGTCTCGCTCAGGCGCGTCGAATAATATACTTTTTGTCCGGGTCAGGTCAACTTGGGGTGTTGACCTCAGGTCAAGGTCAGGTCAGCACCCCCAGGTCACGAAGTTGGTCGAAAGGGGTCATGTCGCATATCATTCGATTCGGCAGGTCTTCCTGAGTCCACTGGTGGCTTTCCCGACTCGCTAGCTCAATTTGATCAAGAGTTATTGACGAAAAACTAATATGACCTTGATGACGTCATAAATGACGTCACGCAAGGTCAACATTGCAAAAGTGACGCATCTAACCTTGCAAGGAGTGCATAAAATCACGATTCTGTGTGCTTGAGATAGTTGGAGATCGTTCCCGGCGCCAGAATAGCAGTTTTCATTTTTCCCCATTGACTTATAATGGTGAGGTCACGAAAATGACCTGACCTCATATGACCTTAAGGAAAAATCCGAGATATACAAGTTGTGTGACTCATAATGGATACTAGATCCTGCAAGTTTCATTTCCCTGTGACATCTCCTCTGGCAGTGAGGGCGTTGCGAAGTTGCGACATCTGAAGACCGTGCAGAGGTTCACTTATGACGTCATAGGTCAGTGACCTGACCTGACCCAAAAATGCGGTTGGTGTCAAAAGATGCGGCTTGGATCAAAGGTCAGGTATGCCAAGTTTCAGCTCTCTATCGCCAGCGTGTTCGGAGCTATCGCGAAAAAACCCTATGGGGGGGGCGGCACCCGCCCCCCCCTCGGCCGGCGAGGGTTAAAATCAAGTTCAGTGCAAAGATAAAGACACTATTATCACTTGACTGTAGCGATTTGGCTCAAAAACCTGTGGGATGGAAATGGGGGTTAGACAAACTTTTTCCGGATTTGGCTGACGCACCCTGTATATCCGTGTTTGAGTAAAGATGTTGGCGTAATATATAATTCAGCAATAAAAGAAGCGCTTGCTTATTATAATCGCCGATCTAGTTATCTTTCAATCTAATCGTTAGAGCACCTGAAAACCGGTAGGGAGGCCGGGCGTTAATCAGGACACACATCGACACGGCATGTGGCTGCGTTTTCCTATACTGACGTCAGCCCAACGGGCCTTGGTTGAAGAAGGGCCCGCGGCTTCAGCGCATGGCAACGGTACCAAATGCACCGTCAAATGACTGTGCTATGTAAGAAAGAGTTGACTGAAAATGTTCCAGCATGTTGTATAACGTTCAACAATAAATACAGCTAAAATATACCGATGTGAAAACGCGAGGAGGTAACACAAAATAGTCAAACGCCTGGCCCAACGACTCAGTGCTTTTTAATACTTATTTTAAGCGCCGTTTCATATACACCATACCGCTGCCTACTTCTACCTGTTGAAGCCATTTTTCTAGCAATGAAAAGCGTGGTATCTGAATGATTGAAAGTCGAACTTGAACTGAAACGGCTTTTATAAAATAAATAAATCTGCCTGACATACAATTTGTTCTTAATCGCTCATCAGTTAGACACATAGCACTCCATATACCTGGCTCATAGCAATAGGGTCAAATATACCGTCTTCCAACAAGGAATTTGTAATTTCCTCGATGTTTTCAGTTGACCTTGCAAAAACTGACCACGGAAAATATTGAACTAAGCTTTCAGAAAAAAAGGATTAAGTTTTATCTGTCACAGTCACAGTGAGTCTCAGATTGCAGCATTCCTTCGTTTGTCAACGAGAAAATGACGGCTCCATCTCAGCCAAAGTCAAAGAAAAATTAACAGTTCGGCTTTATCGTTATTATCGTTCACGGTTCACTGCACCAATGCACCTGCCAGTTTACAATCTCAAAGTCATGCACTGGTATTGCACGAGCGAGAGGGAAAGCATTGCTTGACGATTTACGATATGTCAGCATTTGTGTCTATGTGGACCTCTATTTACTACATCGTGACATATAGTCGAGATCGATGACCTCATAGTGCAGGTCTGGCCCGTAAAACGCTGCAGTAGCGAACAAAACGTGCCAGCGGTGACACGTCAGTGGTGCACGTACACGGAAAATGACGGGACGCAGCTGTAGGATTGGTGAAAACATTCGCCAGATTTGATAGAGGCTGATTAGATAATCGGCTTAGGAAAAGACACGATAGCATTGCATTCCTCGCCGAGCTATCGGAGGACAGCGATAAACGTTTTGGCAACAGTTCACTGTCCATCCGGAACCAAGTTCAACTGTCAGATATTCCGAGCGATACGTGAGCAGGTTTTAGCCAGTAGCGTAGAATTGTTCCAACTTGATCAGAAACATCCTGCCTCAGATTTTTTTTATAGGAATGCAGGTAATGGCGAATTTTGAATAGGAAACAAAACTTGAATAAACCACGTTGTAAACATGATGTGCGAAGCATTAAACTGTTGTTCATAATAAATGGTCGACAAAATCGACAAATTTTGAAGCATTTTAAATGAGCACAGTTGTAAACTCTGTTCACCAGCTCTGTTCATCAGAAATAGTTTTTATGGGTAAAGACGGCGACAGGAAAGTTTTGCCCCAGTAACCCCAAATGCCAAAGATCCTCGTCTCCTGAGTTTGGCCAACTTCAATATACAACCTTACGTCGGTAATTATCTCCTAATTCAGCCCGGAACGTTTAACATAAGTGTGCATACCTATAACATAATTGAACAGCCGAAACTATTTTCGCTAGATTCCTGTATCACGATATAATTTCCTTAAAACTGTCCCCGATATTGCAGGCTATTCAGGCGCATGCAGGAACTTGTATGGTATAGGTACAACGGCAGCCTTCATAGCACGTTACACCTACATACGACGTACCGGTTATTTCATCAGTACAGGCGTATGGACAGTTACGTGCCCCACAGGCCGCTGAGGGCCATCCAGCTTACCTTTCTCATGGTCGTCCTCTGGTTCCGAGTTAGCGCTGTTGCGATGGTGTCGCCTCCCGGCCACCACCGTCAGCTTCTGGAAAATGGCGCCGCCGAACGACTCCGGCTCCGTCTCCGGGTCCGAGTCCGAGTCGCCCCCGCTGGGTCCCAGCACGGCACCTCTGGAGGGACTCCGGCTCTTGCCGCTCGAGGAGGAGCGTGAGCGAGGCGCCTCCACCTTGACCTCCGATGAGTCTTCGCTCACATCGAACTGCCGCTTTCGCCAGCGGAAAGGGTTGTCTTTCTGTCGCTCCGCCGCCTGCTGGCGCATGTTGTAGCTGTGCCGATGGCGTTTGAGGGCCAGCTCTACCAGGTGAGGCCATTTGATGTGCAGGTGGGACTCGCTCTTCCGACGCGAGTGGTCAGTAAAGTCAGAGGGCTGACCCGTTGATGGCATGCTGGCACGGCGCTGATTGAGATAGAGCTCGATCTCATCGTGAAGGGTTGAAGATCGACGCTGGTCTTGTTCTGGGGGATGATCGTTTACCTCTTCGCCCTGTTGCAGCTCTGATTGTTCTTCCTTAGCCGACTCATCACCACTATAACCGCTCTGTTGAGGACTGTGTCCTTCTGTGTCGGCTCCGTCGAGAGCTTCGTCGAGAGCTTCGTCGAGCGCTTCGTCGAGAGCTCTATCGAGAGTTCCGTCCACGTGGTCCACAGACTCCGGGGGTGTACTTCCACACAGCGGAGGCGGTGAGGGTGCGAGGGGAGGTGCCAGGTCAGGTCCGAGAAGTACCGGTTCCGACTCGCTGCCCTTCCGAGCCCGACCCAGCACCGGCGTGAAGCCATCCAGCTGTGAACAAAACGGGTAAACGGTCAGGGAAGGCTGGGTTAACAATGGACATCGAGCAGTGACACGCCGAACTAGCTGTTAGGACTGATTCACAGAGCAAGAACATACTCGTACATGAAACTGATTTCTGCATTTCGGCCCAGATGTAGGGTGTTACAGGAGACAGCATCGCAATAACGATGTGTTTGACCGATTCCGGATGTGAACGTATATAAAAACGCTGTAAATCCATTTGTGTCCAGGTGTTCTTGGACAGGAAACCATTTGTCATTGCTGGACCGGTTTCTGCTGAAGGGTGTGGCTGCACGACGAGTTTTTTCAATGTCCGGACTTTTATTTTATCTTGGTTTCCGTTTTGGTCCGTTTTCATGGATCGGACCGCTTCGTTTTTTGCTTGCGAGGCACGCAAGGCAATTTAGAACTGAATTTAGCACATCCATCTCTATACCGAATTTCCTTTCATGTAGTATTTCTGCGACAAAGTACATTTATACTCGCATCTGATGCTCATAGCCTGTCGCGAATTGCGTAGTACCTATGCAAGAAACTGGTATAATGTATTGTTCACGCCTGGCTTGAGCTGTTGGAATCAACAACAATCATAGCAGCTGAACCGAAACAGGAAAAATTAAGTTTAACCGAACAGTTGAATGATGTTAAAAGTGAGAGCATAAACAAATAATTAACAGCTTAACAAACGCTGCAACAAACGTCAGGACTTTTGCAGTAAAAAACAAACACCCAAACAAAAACAAAAAACAGTCGAGCATGACCTAATCGAACTTACCCCGTTTCCGAGACTGCCTCCCGTCTGCGGCGACTTCTCTCTGTCGTCTCTCCTCAGAACTGCTGGTGAGCTCGTCACACTGGAGGTGGCGCTGCTGACAGCAGGGTCCTCGGCATGGGTCTGGCCGCTGAGGGCACCGATGTGCTGCCTACGACTGAAAGAGGGGTGCCGTCCCTTCAGGGGTGCCGTCCCTTCAGTCCACATATACGGGTTATACAATGACAGTAAAGCGGTGGCGCAGCCGCTGATCTCTATCCTTAGATCCAGCCAGACATCGTCCTATTTATTTATCGCAATAAACAGAGCTGGCACAAAAGAGCCAGTATCTGCTCGTCGTAATCATTTATAAACCAGCACAGGCGCTTTACGACTTATACATAGACATGAAACGATCTACATATTTAAAGAGCCATAACGTGTATCATCCATACATACCAGCCTCGGTCGGCGTGTGTCATTGTCGCCCGCCGCACGGGCTTGTGGTCGGGTCGGGGTCGCGGTCGGGGTCGCGGCCGGAGGTGACCCAGGGGGGACGGGGCCAGACCGGGTCGACCCCGGGCAGCGCGGAGGTCATTTGGCCCCCGTCCGGGACCTCCAGGATCTGTGAAAAGAACGAAAGGCAGGGTGATGACCCACGAGAAAGAGAACCAGGGTGATGGTTTAGCAGGTCGTGCGTAAAACGTGTTACGATTGTACGGAGTTGATACAGCAAGTTAACTATGCTGATAAGGCAATGCAATGCCAGCTTTACTCATTTTCATAATGATGCAGTATCATGTCTTAGGTAAACGAATAATGGAACACATAGCATGCAAATCAAGCGTTTGATTATTTATTACAGCCAATACCACCCATATTACCCAGATCATTCGCTCAAAGTCGCCCTCACTCACTGGAGATGGTCAGCGAGCGTCGAATTTGCCGCCGGAGCAGGGCGGTGGGCGCCACTATTGACTCTCGTCGGCGCGAGGGCCGCTTCGTAAACAGATCCATCCACTGCCCCGTGGCCAGCTGAATCTCCCTGTTTCGATGAGCGATTGCACCAATAAACGACAGTAGGCGACAGTAAGCGATAGCGACAGATGACTATCGGTGGCTCCGGTTTTTGGCAGGCCAGAAGTCAGGCGGGTAAGGGCAGGGTATATCTAAAACATCACGATTCACGGGCACCTATTTTTTAGGTCTTTGAAAAATAAACATTAGTTTAAACGTTAAGGGGACACTAACATAGTATTTACAGTCGGGAATAAAAAAAAAAAAATATTATTGGGCGCAAGTAAACCATGTGATAATGGAAACTGAATATTTTGAATCGCATGTATACGGAGTAAGGACCCAAGGGCTGTTTAAACGATGCTAAATTCAATGTTCGTATTAACCCTCGCACGACCAGGCCATTTCTCATAACACGAACGACCAGGGGGGGGGTTGTTACGACCCCCCCTGGCGTTTCGAAACGGAAGGCCGTAGAGCTTAGCGGAAAAAACCAACGGATTGCTCTCAACGAGATCTCGCGATTGGTGGTATATTTTTTGGTCCTAGGTCAACATTTGACGTACTTTTGACCGGTCAAAGGTCAAATTTTCGGAAAAATAGACTTTTTTCAACTTTCGGCGGCGATTGCGGCAAAACGGTGAGAGATATCGACTTGAAATCTTCACTATCGTGTTCCTTGATCAATTCTCTATCGTTTGGTATGTATTTCGTTTCCCTAGCTCTAAAAATGGCGCGTTGGGAGCGCCGGAAGTCGGCAAGGTCACAGTCGGCGGCAGAAATTCGAAAAATCAAAATTTAAATTTTTGAAATCTGATTGTATTTTTGGATTTGGGAGGTCCATTTGCTCCCTATAGAAGCTAATATTGCTGCATATTCCCATTGAGGTGACAAGAATTAGCAAAATAGTGGTTCGGGCGCTTTTCAAAAATAGTACCGGACGCTGTTCCTCTTGTGACGTCATAGCTCCGTGACCTGACCTGACCCGGTCAAATTTCTTATACCATATGATAGCCAATACTTGCCCCAACATGCATGGGAAGTTTCATCACGATCCATCAACCGATGTCCGTACCACCGGCAGGAAACCTCGGGCGTTGGCACTCAGTTTGTGAAAATCCGGCCGGAGGCTGTACCTCTTATGACGTCATAACTCCGTGACCTGACATGACCCGATCAATTTTTTTTCGGCAAAAGATGCGCAAAGGTTGCCCCAGAGGGTATTGAAAATTTCAGCTCGCTACGACAAGCCGTTTAGCGTGCACTTCGAAAAAACCTCAGGGGGGGTTGATACAACCCCCCCCCCCAGGCGTTCTAGGGTTAAGATAAATAAACACGTTCATAGAAAAACCTTTGCCACGTATTCGCACTGCCAACTCCAAACAGCCCGAGCTGGGCTTAGTCGTTAAAGATAATTAGAAACACCACCGCAAAGGTCCAACGTTATACAACATGACTGCCAGAAGTCAGGCGGGTAAGGGCAGGGTATATCTAAAACATCACGATTCACGGGCACCTATTTTTTAGGTCTTTGAAAAATAAACATTAGTTTAAACGTTAAGGGGACACTAACATAGTATTTACAGTCGGGATTAAAAAAAAAAGATTATTGGGCGCAAGTAAACCATGTGATAATGGAAACTGAATATTTTGAATCGCATGTCTACGGAGTAAGGACCCAAGGGCTGTTTAAACGATGCTAAATTCAATGTTCCTATTAAGATAAATAAACACGTTCATAGATAAACCTTTGCCACGTATTCGCACTGCCAACTCCAAACAGCCCGAGTTGGGCTTAGTCGTTAAAGATGATTAGAAACACCACCGCAAAGGTCCAACGTTATACAACATGACTGCATTTCGCTGTGTACCGGGAGGGGCCTTCGGGAGAAGCGATATGAACTTACATTTGTTTGTGGCAGACAGTGCAGACCCAGCCACGGCCGCCGGTGGGCTGCTGGCGGCAGTCCTTGCACACCGTCAGCCGGCACGACCTGCACGGGGCGCCCCTGTTGAAAATCCTGCCCAGGGTGACCCGGCAGCGCGCGCAGGTGCGGCCGCCCGCCTGTCCGGGCCGCAGGACGCCCTGGAGTCGCAGCATCTGCAGCTCAGACTTCAGTCGCCTGCAACAGAGGACAGCTGCAGTTCAGACTTCAGTCGCCTCATGCAACAAAGAACAGCTGCAGCTTAGTCGCCTGTAACAGAGCACAGCGAGCCTGATGATTGCGAACAGTGCCTTATGGTGAGCCTTGGCTGAATGTTGAACTGTGACACTGGACACTGAAAAACAACGATGAGCAATTGCCCAATTAAGTCAGATGTAACTGTAGGATAATATCGGACCGTCCTTCCACGAATTTACGTTAGAGATGAGATCGCCTATACTGGTAGAAACATCGGCTGTCGCACTTGCCTCCATCGAAGCACAATTTTTAATTGAGCAGTGCATGCTTACAACTTGAAGCATACATGAATGAAAAGGTCGCAATAAAATAAAAAAGAGGAAATCTGCAGAATATAGGTATAGGTAGAACACCACTTAAAAAAAAACTCGGCCCATCTTACCTCATTTCCGTTTCCAACGTTCATCGCAATGCCATGATTGCCGTTCTCTCCATATACCGTGGTTTTAACCGATTTACCTTATTGAAAACGAAAATGCAACGAATTTTCATATAACGCGAATAATCTTGCAATCTTCACTACATTCTAACAACCATCTCACTATCAGCAATCAAACTCAACGCACAGAGTAAAAAGACTAGAGCAGACACTTCTTTTACGCACCCAGATAAGCATGGCTGACGCGACTGGATGACCGACGGAACTGCAACTGGAGAACTGTTCTCGTCAAACCGCGACAGCCAATGGAGGAGAGAGCGACTCCACTGATGAGTGACAAAGTGGGGTGTTTCTCTGACGGAGGGCTGTCACGGAACGGTCAGGGTAAGTGACCGGTGATCTTGGCACAGCTAATCCGTGATTGGTGCCCGGTGCAACGAGAGACATGCGCACGTTTAGCACCCAGGGGGCCGCATAGTGTCATACCGTCATCTATCAAACATTTAACATAGACCTCTGTATGCCTCGGTATACAGAGGTCTATGCAATAAAGTACTTCCAAATTCCAGTGACATCCCATTTTAAGGTCCCACGTTATGAGCTGACTTTCAGGGTCAGGTCATTGACCGGAATCTCAATATAAAATAATCCAGAGTATCTGTTTTTTTTTGTAGCTGCATTTAAACAAGGCATTTTGAGCTCCTTATTTCAAATTTTGCCTTTTTTTGTACCAAAAAGATGCATTTGTGCATGCACGTATAGTAGATAGTTCGTGTCAGGTTAGGTCAGTCCAGATGATAGAGATGGCCACTACGACGCAAATGAATAAATAAACAAATAAGCCCAGGTCTAGCCAGTTCAACCATTACGCGTCCGCCTGGATATTTTTTTCTCGAGCTAAGCGCGTTTAAAGTAGCTTCCAAATGCTCAAACGAATGCAAATATTTGCTGTATTCGCCATTTGATTTATTCGTCGTTTGATTTATCATTTGATATATTTAATGTATTTAAAATGTCATTATCAAAATAAGCCAGGCATAGCGTTTGTAAGAAACTCTTTTTACCAAAGTTTTGCCTTACCAGAGCTTTGTCTGGCTTATTTTGATAATCGGACCTGTGGTCGAAATCATTAATTTCATTATCTCATCACTTGGTATTTCATTGTAAGATGGCCAGTTAAAAAACATTTTTCTCATACCACTGACTTTTCTCTATGTATCTTGAAGATCTGGCGGATTCATTTCAAATCAACGAAATAGTAAATACCTACCGACCAAAAACAGATAGCTACATAGCTGGGCTTCAATTACTGAATCGTCTAATTTCAAGCCACCCCCAGTATCTTGAATAGAGTCACGCTGCTACTTAGAAAGGCGAAACAAGGACCTCCCACTCGAATATCTCTGCACGTGCCTCAAACGTCGAAGCACCCACGAAATCACGCCTACGAGTCACGCAATCCTGCGTGAGAGCGTCTCGTGAGAGTCCCGTGGATCGCATATGAGTGCACTGTCCGTGAACCGTGATCACTGGGCGTCTGGGAACGGAGTGCTGTCGTATCGTCGCCCTGCACTGACGGGATGTGGAGCAGCCGCTACGGCCGGTCGGGCACGGCACCGCGCCGACCGCGACGGTGTGCTGGACGCACAGCCGTGGTGAGCGCCCCTCCCCCCTTCCGGCACACACACCAAAGATCTGTGATCGGCTAGCTACGCACTCTTGCAGTCTGTCGGTAGCCCAACACATCCTAAAACGGTGAATATCCCTGCTATTCGGTCTACACCTACTCACCAAATTCGAATTTTCTCTTCCCGTCGCAGTGCTTCATCCCTTTCGATGACATCCAGAATGCGCTGCTGCTCTTCTGACGTCAGGTTTAGGTCCTGAAACGCCAGCTGAGCTGCATTTGTGACGTCACTTACGGCCATCTTCGTCTGCAACACAGGGACAGAGGGGGGTCAGTGGAGTTGTTCACGACGTTTGCTTATTTCATATATTAACCCGCTTCCCGCTCGGGGAGGGGGGCTGAATCTGCCTCCCTTCCGTTTTTGCCAATAGCTTCAAAGCGCGTTATGTCAGCAAAGCCAAATGTTTAGTATTTTGTCATCCATTACTTTGACATGATCCCTAAAAATTTGAGTGAAATTTGTCGGACGTTTTGAGACTCTTAAAGGAACTATCCCACCTTCTAAAATGTTGTTAAAACCAGTTAAATTGTGCCCGACTTTATAGATTGGATGACCAGGAACACGGTTCTGGCATTTATTTTTCATGAAACATCTTAGGCTTCCCATATTCCAAACACAAACTTTCAAATATGTGACGTCACAGCCCAAAATTACCTCCTTCCCCAGGCCACATTACTGTCATAAAGCTGATTCTTTTTACTCTGTAGGCACCACAACAAAGTTCAGACCAAGTTTTAAGCGATTTTTCAACGAACAAACCCATTTAAATCAGAATGACTAAACGAGGTGACGTCACACTAACGGTCGCTCCATGTTGAAGATAGGGCTTTGCGCAAGGCCCACTTTCAAATGAAGGGAACGAATTTCTTCAACACCAAGAGGCCGCGGGGGTTGCAACCTAGATAGATAGTGGTTTCTGAACCTCGCCGCAAACTTGGCTATCTCAACTCAAACCCCATGTTAAGGTGGGATAGTCCCTTTAAGTGGCGTCATGTCACGCCATTTTTGTTTCAAAACTGTAAAACTTCAAACGCCTCTAACATCTTCAGTTCTAAAATCAAGGCGTAACAAATTTTTTTTTGGATTTTGACGTTTACAACGTCGAAATGTCTTTTTTAAACAATTGTATAACTTAAATTTTGAATTTCTGAACAAAAAAATCAGGAAATAGGTATGTTGGAAAGTACAACGCCTCTCGTTTCGACGCTTTTTATGACACGACAATCTGAACGTAACATAAGACAATAAGAGAACCTTGATCTTGTTGCCCCAAGAACGGAATTCATGAAAAATTCTCTTTCTTACCAAGGCTCTAAGCTTTGGAACAGCTTGCCCCCTCAAGTGAGGAACGCCTCAAAGAATGAAGTAATAAAGTACATTCTAACTAAGGCAGACATTGACAAGCCATGATTATCGGTCATATGCTCGTACTTATACAATGTATCGTTTCAACGTGTGCAATTGCCAGTGTTTCATTTGATGTCACTCGCCAGTCACTGCACTATACGTTTGAGGACTACTTCTTTGTATCAGGAGAATATTGATTTGGTGGCAGTTTGAGTCTGTTCATGTAACGTGCATGTAGCCTGTAGGTAACATGCATAGGTAATAGGTATGTTCATACGTGGATCATGTAAAGTGTTGTGTACCTGGTGAACTGTATGTATGTACCTACCTCGTGCCTATTTTCACCGTAACGCCCACGTTTCTGTGGTTGGTGAAAATAAATGAAATAATAATAATAATAATAACCGTCTGCGCATCTATATGTCAATTTGTAGAAGGATCGCTCCAAAAATGTAGGGATTATTCGGATTTTAATCACGTCACGAATCGTATTTTACTATAACATAACATATATTACAATGTAACAACAGGCTACAGGAGCCCAACAAGGTTACAAGGTTGATGTATAGTCGACTACAGAATGATGTTCCACTCCTCAGAAGCTATCAGTTGACAGGAGCGCTAAGTTGTGCCGTTTATCACGCAATTAAGCGTGTCGATTGTGAGCATTGAGACAAAGCTATAATTTGTGAACTCAGCTCGTGTGATGCGGCACAGCCTACCACTCCAGGCAAATAATTTCCAGTGAAAAGTGGAACATCATACTGTAGTCGACTACACACAGTGATGTACACATTGATGGACACTGAACAAGAGAGACATGCCAATGAATGCCATGAGTGAATCCTAACAACGAAACCCAGAGTTGTCTTTACCTTCAATGGTGTCAAAGACCGCACCACGCTCCGTTAAATACAAATCCACATTAGGTATATTTGAATTTTTAAAGGGAGGAACTATCAATAACCCAGGGAGGTAAACTATTCCACATATCAATGACGCGGTTAGTAAAAAAAGGATTGCCTTAAACTCGTTTTTGAAAATTTATTTTCCAATTTACATCTAGGTATGTCCTCTTGTGGAGTTCGAACTTATCGTGAATAAGCTCTTAAAATCTAGTTAATTAATACCTCTATAAATTTTGAACAATTCAATCAAATCACCTCCCACCCTACGGTAATGGAGTGAAAACATATTCAACGAGACAAACCTTTTTCTGTAAGTCATCCCGCGAAAACCAAGCACCATCCTAGTGGCCTTCCTCTGCACACGCTCTAGAGACTTGGCGTCTTTTTTAAAGGGACTATCCCACCTTTAACATGGGGTTTGAGTTGAGATAGCCAAGTTTGCGGCGAGGTTCAGAAACCCTATCTATCTAGGTTGCAACCCCCGCGGCCTCTTGGTGTTGAAGAAATTCGTTCCCTTCATTTGAAAATGGGCCTTGTACAAGGCCCTATCTTCAACATGGAGCGACCGTTAGTGTGACGTCACCTCGTTTAGTCATTCTGATTTAAATGGGTTTGTTCGTCGAAAAATCGCTTAAAACTTGGTCTAAACTTTGTTGTGGTGCCTACAGAGTAAAAAGAATCAGCTTTATGACAGTAATGTGGCCTGGGGAAGGAGGTAATTTTGGGCTGTGACGTCACATATTTGAAAGTTTGTGTTTGGAATATGGGAAGCCTAAGATGTTTAATGAAAAATAAATGCCAGAACCGTGTTCCTGGTCATCCAATCTATAACCCGCGCCCCGCTGAGCTATTCGGCCATACGCGCCCTGCTGGGGGGGGGGGGCAGATTCTGCCCCCCCCCTGTCTAACTTCCAAACCGATGGTCGTAGAAAGACGGGGAAAACGGCAATCGAAAGCTCTCAACAAGGCGGATCTTCAGAGCCCAATTTTTTTGCTTAAATAGGTCAGAGGTCAGGTCAAGGTCAGGTCAAGGGTACAACATGCAAGTTTCTACAGTATCGGCCTTGCACCGTAGTTGCCGAAGAATGGACTGAGACTGATTGCCCAAAACGTGTTCTTAGACTACCAAGACAATATTCGTTGCATACAATGTCATTCAAAGGTCAAGGTCAAGGTCAAGGTCAGGTCAGGTCAGGTCAGGTCACCAAAAACAAAATATAGAAAAGGGCATGTGCGACACATGTTTTATGGGTCATTTTACGCATAGAATTCAATAGGCACACTCAAATAAGTGATATGGACCACCTCTTTTTGAATTTGAGGTCGAGGTCAGGTCAAGGTCAGGTCAAGTGAGGTCAAATTTTGAAGTTGGTTGTTAAGGCCTAAAAAGGTGTCTATCTGATGCAGTTTTTCACGGCGAATCGAATGGTGCTATTTTTGTTTCCGTACGAGGTCTAGAACTTCCAAAAAAATCATTTTTCAAAATTTTTGTGTGTCATGACGTCATAAAATTTTGAATAACTCCCACATTTTTGAACCGATTCTTCTAAAAATTGGTATGTAGGTGCACATAGACCACTTCTCTGACATATATTCCGGTTTTTTTCGATACACTCAAAATTTTGGATTTTATAATTATTTTTCCAAAAAAGTCAGTTTTTTGAAAAAATTTGGGCCAAAATCCAAAATTTTCAAAAAAGCGAGATAGCCATTTGATAGACAAAGTAGAATCACGTATAATCTTTTTGTTACGTCTTGATTCCTTTAAAAATGAAGATGTTAGCGGCGTTTGAAATTTTGCCGTTTTTTAGGCGAAAATGGCGAACATGACGTCACTAAAACGTCAATTTCTCAAAAATTTTCCGACGGATTTCGCTCAAATTTTTAGGGAACGTGTCAAATTGATGTATGATAAGGTACTGAAAGTTTGGCGTCGCTGGCGTAACGCGTTTAGAAGTTATTGGCGAAAAACGGGAGGGGGGGGGGGCAGATTCTGCCCCCCCCCCAGCGGGGCGCGGGCTAGAGTCGGGCACAATTTAACTGGTTTTAACAACATTTTAGAAGGTGGGATAGTCCCTTTAAAGGGCGAGTAGCATGCCTGTGCACAATACCTACTCTAAATGTGATTGACAATATTTTATTAGAAAAATTAGAATATTTTCATACACTTATTTCATTTTTTGAAGTTCTAGAACTCGTATGGGAGTAAAAAAGGCACCATTCCAATCGTCGTGGAAAATTGCATCAGATAGACACCGTTTTGTGTCTTCTTAATAATCAACTTTCAAATTTGACCTCACTTGGCCTGACCTTAACATGACCTTGATCAGAAATTCATTCAAATATGGTTCATATCACTTGGTATGTCCATTGAGTTCCATGAATAAAATGACCCATAAACGTGCCGCATATACCTATCTTAATTCTATCGGTCGTCTGTGGTGACCTGACCTTGACCTTGACCTTTGCATGACATTGTATGCAACGCATCTTGTATTGGTAGCCTAATCAATCCATTACTCGCCAACTGCGCTCAAAAGCTGAGTATGTAGAAACCTGCCGTTTTTACACCTGACCTGACCTAGATCTTGCCTCTAACCTCTCAGGACAATTTTTTGCTCAAAGTTCCATCCTGCTGATTGCTTTTCATTGCCGTTTTCCCCGTCTTTCTACGACCTCGGATCGTAAGTAAGTGGGGAGATAGAATCTGCCACTCCCCTCACCCCAACCCCCCACCCCTCCCCAGCAGGGCGCGTATGGCCGAATAGGGTTAACCCGCGCCCTGCTTGGGGGGGGGGGCAGAATCTGCCCCCCCCCCCCAACCTGACCTCTGACCTACTTAAGCAAAAAAAATTGGGCTGTTAAGATCCGCCTTGTTGAGAGCTTTCGATTGCAGTTTCCCCCGTCTTTCTACGACCATCGGTTCGGAAGTTAGACAGGGGGGGCGGGCAGAATCTGCCCCCCCCCCCCCAGCAGGGTGCAAATGGCTGAATAGCCCAGCGGGGCGCGGGTTAAGTTGATCACCCCAGCGGGGCGCGGGTTAAGTTTGTTTTTATGCACAGTATCCTGGGATGACAAAGTGTCACAGAGACGTCGACGTTTGTACTCTATACAACACTTACCTACAGAGATGTCAACCGCAGCGTACCGCAACAGTCAACGTGAGCCAGAGATGAGAAATCCAAACATACCACATAGCCGTCAAGGCACCGACGCAGCCGTCAACGTAGTCCAAAGATATCAACGTAGCACAGAGTCGCCAACACACTCGCAGCCGTCAACGTACCAGACACAGTCGCCAACACATCAGACACACTCTCGGCGCGGCAGCGGTGCGGCGAAGTGACGCGGCTCGCCGCACCTCGCGCGGCTCACGGCGACTCAGTGCTCCTGATGAGCTGCGGTGCAGTGAGCCCGCCATCACTCTCACCAGTTTGAGTCATGGAGTGCTGGCTCCAAACTACGGCAATAGAGCGGTAGGCAATTGCGTGACATAGCCACTTTCATGTGTAGCGTGTGCCGTGTGGCATGGATGTGTGCGAGGCATATATTCGTGAATTCATTCATAAATGCATAGGTAGGTGTATTGAGAGACCAAAACGGCGAAGTTCGTCACTTCTTCTTGTTTCCGTTCTTTCTCTTGCAATTCCTAGTACCTATTTTCTCAAAAGTTTAACTCGGATAATCATTTCAGACATTCTTCGATAGTAGGTAGGCCATGAAACACGAATTTCATGCCATCTCAGGCATAGGCGGCGGAACGAGGGGGCACCGGGACACCGTGCCCCCCTTTGATTTTGGCATTTTAACATTAGCCCTATGGGCGTTGCATGGTTAGAATGGGACCAAAAGTCGGCAGTGCCCCCCCCCCCCCTTAATTGAAGGTGTTCCGCCGCTACTGAACTCAGGCAGTAGACGCGGATCTGTGCGTCACATGATCCACGGTTTCTCTTTCGGCGCCAGTCACCATCCACCAGCACTGGAGTACCTACGAGGTAGCCGACGTGCGGGTTAAAAGCGAGTGGGACCGTATAATAAGAAAGCAGGCCAATGCTCCATTTTAAAAGGCGAGCTACGCAGAAATTAGCCATTTTGACGACGGTCATGTCACACACATTTGGTGCAGATTAGGTGCAGATTTGGCGCAGATGAAGGTATTTGTTGTTAAAGGGATTCGGTGCAGATTTGGTCAAATCATGTGCATTCGCCAGACACTCCGTCGTAAAAAAGGCTAATATCGCCTTTTTCGTGAATGTCATAAAGAAGAACGGTCAGATGGAAGACCGCTTCTGGCCCAGAACGTCGCAATGCATGCATAAATCATAAATAATTGTATTTCTTGATTGCCAACAAATCTTTCGCCAATAAAGATGGATATCTGTGTACTTACACCGAAAACAGACAACTTTTTGTATGCTTACCTATACGGTTCTAATGGGTGTGGTTCACTAGGCGGGTTTTAGGCGGGTGTGGTTCACTCGGCGCGTTGTGCGCGAGCCTGATTGGTATGCTGTTCCGCATGTGTCTCCGTGCGCGCGTGTCGGTCGTCCTGCGCGGCATTATCAGATATACATAGACCGGCAGACCGAACAGCTGTGCCCTCTACATTTATTTTGATATCATCAAAAGTACGAATTCGAGACCACACTTGTTTCACCACTGCAATGGTGAATGGTGCCTGGTGGTAATGGTGGGGGCACCAATGCATTGGTGCCCCTCTCCCCCACACTTTGATGTTATTTCCTGATTGTTCAGAACGCATTTGGGATGAGAGTTGACATATCTGACCTTGGCCTCAAGCATGATCTTTAAACAGCAACGAGCAGCCGCATTTGGAATTAGTGATCCTCTGCACGGTCTTAAAATGTCGCAACTTTGCAACACCCTCAGTGCCAGGAATATTTCGCAAAGGGAAGAAACATACAGGACGTCCGACGTAGTAACCTCACAATCACCCACAACGCTTATATCTCATATTTTTCATAATGGCCAGGTCAGGTCAGGTCATCGGGTCAGGTCGAGTTATCTGACCCAGATCTGACCTTGAGTTGAGGTCAACACCCTAATTTGACCTCTCTCAAACAAAAGCCATGTCATTCGCACTCCGGAGCAGGACGGCCTTAATTATCTTCTTTCTTTTTTTTTTGGCCAAGTTATTCGATAATAATCGCCTCCCTTACCTGAACTCCATTTGAGCTGACCTCAGAGGAGCGCTGAGACTTTAAAATGGGGTACCAGTTGCCGTGTCTCGTAGTGGCGCACACGCCTCGTTTTTACGCAAAAGTCTATCTCAAATCGGGGCGAAACAGCGAGCAACCCCCTGGCCCTGTCCCCCTTCCTCCACTCCCCATCGACCTTGTGTGTAGAAAAGCGATAAGTTCGGCGAGGGACAATGCAGACCAATGAATAATACAGTCCAACTAATCGTAAGGCCAGCATCAAATCGTCGTATTGATTCAGCAAAACAGCATGGACCTGCAGTCTGCACAATGCACATCCATGAGCAAGAGCATGTATTACATTATACTAGATATGTTGACATTTTCGAGAAAACTAAATGCAACTCACCTATAGGCGTCGAACGGTCCAACTTCTCAATCCTCCGAATCGAATCAAAACCTTCGTCGTCCCAGTAGTTTCCTGTGCCACTCCCTCGTGCCACCACAGCCCCGCCCTCGCCCAGACTGTGCGGAAGCGAGTCCGATCATAGACCACAGTCGTCGAGACGTCGCCGCTCGCGATCGCACTGATAACGCCCCGAGACACGGCGAGTGCAAACAGCCCCGGGCGGCTGTGACGTCACTCGCACGGGAGCGGCGATTGCCCCGGGCGCCGGGTCACGTGACTGACAGAACTGACACCGCGCACGGAGCCGGCGATCGGAACAGCGCAATGCCGAACGCGCATGTCGCCGGCGATTGTTCGCTTTCGTAGCTGTCATTATAAGCCACACATCGGACTCCGGAATCAATCGATCGTTGTGTACCTATTCGTTAGAAAAAAGTAAAAACTCGAGCTTTTGCAAGTCAATCCGAGGCTCAATCGCGTCGCCATTCTTTAACGATAACTTGTGTGTGAGTCGTGACTCTACGGCCGTTTTCCTTCAGAGTTCAGACAACTCCAAATGGATAGCTGACGCACTTGAGCAACAGTAAAAATAGCGGCATCAAACGACATTTGGAAATACCTTTGTGAGGTCTCTTGACAGACAGTCACAGACTTACGTACCCTCGCACTTCTAGCCTTCTGGGGAAGGGTCGAACGAAACCCATTCCCTTGCTTGTTCACAAATATCTCGCGTAAACAACGACGCATCGCGCCGTATGTTTTATTACAATTTATGAATACAATCGACTAAATTAATTTTATCTCTTCTACGGCACTGATAAAATGACCTTCGGCCTGTGACACCTTTTTATGAGAGAATGGTGATTCGCCGTGTCAGTGCACACTGCACAGTTTCAATGCGTTCTTGGACTTTTTGTGTTTGGAAACGTGTCAACAGGTTAATGTGAAATGATGTTTGTTACGAGCGAGCGAGCGCAGCGAGCGAGCGAGTTCATACTGAAAATCCTGAGTATGAGCGGCCGGCCGGCCGGCCGGCCGTGGGAACGCTCTCGAAAAGCTGATATCTTAGGAACGGGACATCCGATTGACAAGCGGTCTTCTTTACTGAATGTCACTTGGACGTAAAAGTTCTGTGCTGTGATGGCCACCATACGTTCTTGCCAACCACCGCACGTGGCGCGTGGTAAAGTTGGACATTTTTAAAGAACCCCCAAAATTGCAACCTCAATAACGGCACAACGGTTGGGCCGATTGAATTGAAACTCGGTACACAGTTAGGCCTCCATCAGATAATTCATCTGCCTGTGTTAAGTTTAGGGTGCTACTGCACGTGCGCACATGCAGGGGGCGTTTCCAGATCTCGAGAACGGCTGGGCCGATTGCGCTCGAATTTGGTACATGGTTGGGGACCGGTTAGTAGGGTGCCGTGCAAAAGTCATTTTGGACCCTGTTTGCACGTGCGCACGTGCAGAATGCCGCTTCCAGATCTCAGGAACGGCTGGGCCGATTGCGTTCAAATTTGGCACACCGCTAGCGACCGGTTAGAAGGGTGCTTTCCACAAGCCCGTTGGAAGTACCCTCTCGCCCTTCCGCGCGTGCAGGGCTCACTATCTCGCTCGCTCTTTCTTCGCCCAAAAGGCGTTTTACTGGTCTAATACATTGTGGTGGGTATTAAGTTTAACTGTCAAGCTCACATGAGGGTCAGGCCACTGCCTGACCTTCAGATGGCCTCGATTAACCCGCGCCCTGGTGGGGTCTGTTTATAACGCGACCTGGTGGGGGGGGGGCTATTTTTTGCCCCCCCTCGTATCTCCGAAACTACTGGACGGATCCGAAAAATTCAAACGGCGTTCGAAAGGCCTGTCAAATTTGTCGAAGGAAACCAAATTTTATTGACCTCAGGGTCACCGATGACGTCACAGGTCAGGTCAAAGATGAAATGTTTCACCGTTCACGGGTCTTCTAGGGAATGCGCTATAACACCGAGGAAAACGCATTTTGTCGGGAATCAGCGATAAGGCGTCAGTTGCCTAGTAGATATGTTGCTGTTAGAGGTCACTGGTCATACCAGGTCAGGTCACAGGTCAGGTCACCAAAGGTCACCAAGGGTCACCACATGAACCCGACTTTACTAAGGTTATGCGATGCATGTTTTATGGCCAGTTTTTCATTTCCAACTCAATGGTGTTGGTTATAAGACCATCAGGTACGGTTTAGGTCACTTTCTGGTGGAGGTCAGGTCAAGGTCAGGTCAAAAAAGGTCAAATTTCAAAGTTGATATTTTTGCATAAAATGGGTATTGATTCGATGCAGCTCGTCACGGGGAGTCTAATGGTGGTCTTTGTTTTGCGCTACGAGGTCTAGAATTGCTGAAAATTGAGTTTGAAAATTTGACGTCATCAATTTTGAAGTTTTTTTCGCTATAACTTGGCCAAAAAAAAAGAGGTATCGATCTCAAATTTGGTATGTAGATAGAAGGCGGTAAGGACTATCACATATATTCCGGTTTTTTTCGAAATTCAAAAAACTTTTTGGATTTTTTTGCTATTATATTCAAAAAATCTATTTTTTGATTTTTGGGGGTCAAAATCCAAAAATTTCAAAAATCCGAGATAGCAGTTTTGTAGCCCTGTCCATTCTACAGCTTTTATGTCTATATCATTTTTCTGTATTTGCAAAGCTATAGGCCTGACAGCTCTTCCCGCGAAACCCTTTTTTGGGTCGAAAACGGCAGAACATGACGTCACTCTGACGTGATTTCCGGCCAACCTATCATAGCCTTTGGAAAAATTTTTGGTCACTATGTGTAAAATTGATGTCCGGGAGGGCACTGAAAGTTTGGTGACGATCGGCGCAGTGGTTCTGGAGATATATCGAAAAGTCTGGAGGGGGGGCAAAAAATAGCCCCCCCCCCCACCAGGTCGCGGGTTAACTTTGTTCTTAATTTTATAACTTTTTTGGATAGTTTTAGAAGCTGATTTCAAATTTAGGACCATCTCATGCACATTACGTGTTTTTGTATTTATAGGCTCCTTGCAAGGTACGTACGGTGCCTAAATTTTGCATCGTTGACCTTCCGAATCCGTGACCTCGGCTCATACCATATAACGCCAGTAAAGTTATCGGAGTTGTTCGTCAATACCTACCCAATTCCCGATCTAACTGAGATAATAGTCATAATAGAAGCAAGTCGGGAAAATCATCATCACTGGGCTAAGAAAAACTCGCCCACTCGAATGATAGGGATGCATTGTGACTTCCGGACCGTTTGAACATTTTCATGACGGCCGAGCTGGGTTTTGACCTGATGTTGACCTTAGGTTGAGCTTTTGACTAGTTGAACTTCCCTTCCCAAACGAAGTACCTACTCGTACGAGCATTGACGCACCTGACCTGAGCCCTAAGCCATGCCCCTCAGAAATCACCGGCTGATCTGGTCAATGGGTTCGTACGTAAGTACCTACATATCAACCAGACTAGAATTGGAACTGGGTGCCACCGAACCAGTCACTGCATCCCGTTGCCTCGTAACAAGCGCACACAGTGTTGCCGCGGCCAGATTTTACAGCGTACCAAGATCGCATCCAAATCGTACCAGATTGGATGTTTTTGGCTGCGTACCGTACCAGATCGTTATTATAGGATTAAATTGGACTTACTCCACAAGAGAATCGTTTTCGGTCGGAGCTTTCGACATGTATTACATGTCCTCTTCAGCGAAGGTCGGTAATCGGGGCGAAAATAAAACGTTCGGGTCGAATCGAATCGCACAAGAAGACATCTTGTGCGATTCGATTCGACCCGAACGTTTTATTTTCGCCCCGATTACCGACCTTCGCTGAAGAGGACATGTAATACATGTCGAAAGCTCCGACCGAAAACGATTCTCTTGTGGAGTAAGTCCAATTTAATTCTATAATATCTATTTGCTCTCCACACTAACATGTCTCTAAGTACCAGATCGTAGTAGGTCAAATTGTTATTAATTCAGTTCTTAAAAATAGCCAAAATTTCGGTACGTTCATGCCAGCAAGTAATTTATGACTCATTTGACCCAGTAGTTTGACCCATTCGTCTCCCCGCGTCGCCCCTTGAAAGGCAGAAAGGCGCTCTTCTGAAAGCTCCCGAACTGTTACCTACTTAAAATTGGCCTAAAAATAGATAAATCGAAATCCTGCCTTCGAGGGGGGGGGGGGCACTCCAGTTGAGACTGGCGATTGCCCCCAGGATCCTAGCTTGCACCCAGAATCCGAAAATTGCCACAGTAATACCTATGCCAGTGAGAATGGAAAATTATTTGCTGGGTGTCATTTAGTTTTCCAACGAAATCGCACAATTTTGGGACAGTGATTCAAACTAGCCTCTTTCCTTAGCCCTTCGACCACGTCGACGGAACTCACATTTCACTGTTCACAATACAACTACAATTCCCAACTTATATTGGTTATTGGTATCTCAGCTTACGAGCCGTACCACAAATCTTTGCATTTGGGCCCGGTCAATTCCCAACTCAAGACACAACCTCTTATATTGCCTTGGACGAACAACTGCCTCAGGCTGTAGCCGGCGGACCGTCCTTGGCAGCCGGCGTGGCGCGCGAATTTTCCACTTGTTTACTAGCACACAACAGGAATACCTAGGTATCAATAATTCCGAATCCGATGCATGATATATCATGATGAGAAAGTTAGGAACACCATCCCTCCTGACTAGAATAATTATTTTTTTTTAGATCGAAAGAAATATTATAATACAATACCAAAAAAATGCATTTCGGCGAAAAAGTACCAGATTTCGTTTAGGCGTACCTCCGTACCAGAAAGGTCGAAAAAGTACCAGATCTGGTACTATAGTACCAGGACGGCAGCACTGAGCGCACACGGCCTTTGCTTTTTCCCCCGCGGAACTCGGGGTCCATTTGAGGCGAACCGTGAGCGGCTCAGAAGATCAGAGAATAGAGATGACCGAATGGCAGTGGGTTCCACCAGCGGAACCCCTCTCATCTCAGCCATTGTATATATATGCTATATGAATATGAAGAAAGAGGATAGGTCTGACGATGGCCAGGCTAGAATCATTGAAAACTGTTTACTGAGCCAAGTTTAGCCGCTTCAAATGAT